CCCCCTAATCTCCAAACTGCAAATTCTTTGCATAATATTTTCACCACACATTGACCTTAGTCAGGACATCTCCACCCCCTCCTGCTGCCTCCTCGCTGCAACATTTACAACCCATGCTTCACGCTCATGTAAGAGTGTTGGTACCACTATATTCTCATATATTCCCTTCTTTGCCTCTATGAATAACATTCTTTGTATCTACAGATATCTAAAAAAATATTTTTTGCCTTTGCATGCACTCCACTTGATATTTCTTCATAATATAACACTTATGATTGTTAAGTTACATATATCTTTTTGTTCTTCAAGCTAATATATTGATGATAAGATTTAAAAAACCTAAATATTAGCTTAAAAAACTATTTTGAATAAAAAAAAAAATTATTATTATTCTTAATTTTGGGCTAAGGATTTTTTGAGACTGAAGCCTCCTCCCCCCCTCCTTTGGTACCTCCAGTGCCTGTTTGTAATTGTTGATGTGTCTAATATATCCTTAGGTGTCCATTAATTAGGGCTCTTCTGTACATTACTCTATTGACATATTTTTCCCTCCTTAGTGTTTCTTTTTCTTATGTTTGTTGCATTCCACTTGTTTTCTAAGTAACAGTAATGTAAGCTTTTTAGAACTGTCCTAAACAACTGTATGTTTTTCCTGACATTTTTGTTTGTTTTTGAAAACGGTGCTTAAATCAATTTTATTTCCCATGTTTGTTGTCCTCAAAATAGATCAGTTATTAAAAAAATAAGAAAAGCTGCACATGTAGAAATCTGACTCTTCAACATTATTTGTTCTGTTTTATTGACTAAAATTTTACTCAAATTTTTTTGCAATAATACAGTTGTTTTTAAGTCATCCTTTCTGAGTTTTCTGGTTTATTGTCGAGTTATTTCTTGAGAATCATCTTAATTTTAGAGTATTTAAAATGAGTGTATCATCTCTGCAGGTGTTTGTGTGAACTGGCTAAACAAATAGGCTTCAGCAAACAAGCTCAGGAACCCTTTGAATTAGAACACCAGTTATCAACATTCAGACATGTGGTAAGTACCTTAGAACCCTTCAAGTTAGAACACCAGTTGTCAACATTCAGACATGTGGTAAGTACCTTAGAACCCTTCAAGTTAGAACACCAGTTGTCAACATTCAGACATGTGGTAAGTACCTTAGAACCCTTCAAGTTTGAACACCAGTTGTCAACATTCAGACATGTGGTAAGTACCTTAGAATCCTTCATGTTAGAACACCAATTGTCAACATTCAGACATGTGGTAAGTACCTTAGAACCCTTCAAGTTTGAGCACCAGTTGTCAACATTCAGACATATGGTAAATACCTTAGAACCCTTCAAGTTTGAACACCAGTTGTCAACATTCAGAATTGTGGTAAGTACCTTAGAATCCTTCATGTTAGAACACCAATTGTCAACATTCAGACATGTGGTAAGTACCTTAGAACCCTTCAAGTTAGAACACCAGTTGTCAACATTCAGACATGTGGTAAGTACCTTAGAACCCCTTGAAGTTTGAACACCTTCAACTCAAACATGGGTAAACCTTGAACCCTTCAAGTTTGAACACCAGTTGTCAACATTCACACATGTGGTAAGTACCTTAGAACCCTTGAAGTTAGAACAATTGTCAACATTCAGTCATGTGGTAAGTACCTTCAAACCCTTCAAGTTAGAACATCAGTTATCAACATTTAGACATTTAGTAAGCACCTTAGAACCCTTCAGGTTAGAACACCAATTATCAACATTCAGACATGTGGTAAGTACCTTAACACACACAGCTTTCTTTATCATTATAATAATGTATTTTTAATGTGATGGAACAAGCTTTTAATTTAAAAAATCTACACATATTTTACAGACAATAGACTATATTTGCAGAGTGGTTGCAAGGGTACATAGATGCCTTGGGCATGCAACAGTGCCTACCCCTTTAAGAGGGTGCCTTGATGATAATGATAATAATAATGATGTTTACAGGCATACCTTGCTAATGCAGTGAGTAGGTTCCAGACTGCTGCTGTACAGCAAAATTACCTTAAAGTGAATCACAACCCCCTTTTTTTTTTTTACTTGACAGTGCACGCTATGATTCATTAACTGTGCAGTAACGCTGGGCCTTCAGAAAACAATGCGAAAGTAAAAATAATAAATGAAAAATTACAAAAAAATCTTGAGAGCAAGGCAAGCACTGAAAATACTAAACATGAATATACAGTAGACCCTTATATTACACGGTAGTTATGTTCATGAAAATGCGGTGTTAGATAAAAATCTGTGTTAGATAAACTGAAGAACTTATGAAAAAAATAGGGTTATGTTCCTGGAAGCCAAAAAAAAAGGCCAAATAACTATTTTTAGATTTCCAGATCTTACAAAAATAAAAGTCAATATGTAATTGTTGTTCATTGTCACGATGTATTATGTTGTTTTTACTGCTTAACCCTTTCACTGTCGAGACTCTTGCTCACAAACTTGCTCTCATTGTTGAAAAAGGAAAATGTAAAATGACAGGGAATCTTTTTCCAATGGCAATGTCACCAAAACTATGAAATTTGATGGAAAACTTATGGAATTATGCTCTCAGCAGTTAGCGGTCTTGGCTATAAATACACAATGGCGATTTTACCCACTTTGAGCCCTATTGTTGGCCAATTCCATTGTTCCAGTCGACCAAACTCGTAGCTATTTTGCTAGAACTCCATATGTACAAAAAACTGCCCATTCACAATTTCAACTACGAAATAAAGTGGTCAGAAATTGGCAATTTGGCTACTTTCACACAAATTTCAAAAGATGCCAGTTTCAAAATAAGGTCCAGAATAAACAATGCAGATATTTCTGGCATTAAAATAACGTTTTCACTGTTCATTAGTCATATCTCCAGGCCCCTCTTATATTACTCTTGCTTTCCATTTTGATTTTTTCTTCACACAAAAAATAGAAAATTTACTGTTATGCAAACTACTACATCATTGTAATAATTGTATAAATAATGTCAACCCATTTATGAATGCATTAGACTGGCCAGTTGGACGCCTCTTGGTCAGCGATATCCTTTGTTTACTCTTGAATATTGGCAACAATTGAACATTTCCTCACTCAATTTTAACCCTTTGAGGGTTGACAGGCCCTCTCAGAAACTCATTCTCAGGGTTGGCCAAATTTAAAAAAAAAAAAAAAATTTTTTCTTTTGAAAAGATAAAGAATCTTTTCCCGATCATAATGACACCAAAATTATGAGATTTGATGGAAAACTTACGGAATTATGCCTTCTCGCGAATTAGCAGTCTCGGCGATGTTTACGCATCGGCGATTTTGCCCACTTTGAGCCCCATTTTCGGCCAATTCCACGGTACTAGTCGACAAAAAACATGAATATTTCGCTAGAACTACATTTTTTCTATTGAATAAGTGCAAGAAACCACCCATTTACGATTTTCAACTATCCAATACAGTGGTCAGAATTTAGCAATTTTGCCAATTTCACACAAATTTAAAAAACATGCCAATTTCCGAATAGGGTTCAGAACAAATAAGAAATACATTCCTGGCACTAAAATGACATTCCTGTGTTCAGTTAGTCACATCTCAAGGCCCCTCTTACATTCTTTTGCTTTCCACTTTGAATTTTTATTCTCACAAAAAATAGAAGATTTACTGTTATGCAGAGTACTGCATTAGTGTAAAAAAAGGTATAAATCATATTGGCGCACTTGCAAAAGAATATTAGACTCACCAGTTGAAGTGTATTGGACGCTTGGCATGATTTGTTTACTTTTGAACTTTGGTAAAAATCGAACATTTCTGCTACTTTGAGCTCAATTTCAAGGACTTTTCATTGTAAAACCACCCAAAATCATTCAATTTCTGTGATATGCCTTCCATTCTATAAAATGAGACCAAGAAACTAGAAATACAAAAATAAATACCATACGAAAATACAGTGCAAAGTCGCTGTTTTTTTCAAAAAAAAAACGGTCAAAGTTTTTTTTTTTTCTCATTATGCACTGTGTGCTGCAGGATTTTTTTTATACCATGCACACTGACCACATAGACCCATTCTTTCATACGGAGGCCTACAGCCTTTTCCCGCGAATTTGAGGTGCTAGAATTTATGCGTACTAGTACGTCAAAAACCCCTGCACGTAAGACGTACTAGACGTCCGAAACCCTCAAAGGGTTAAGGTACTTTTTCATTGGAAACCAGTCAAAATCATCTCTGTTTCTATAATATATCACCATTCTATCAAATGAGACCAAGAAAATGAAAAATTCTCTTAAATACCATATGAAAATACACCTCAGAGTCAGCATTTTAAACCAAAAAAGCTGTCGGAGTTTTTTTTTCTCATGCACTGCATGCTGCAGGATTTTTTTTTATACTGTGCACACTGACCACACAGACCCATTCTCTCACATATAGATCTACCAACTTTCTCCCACTAGATTTGAATCCGCTAGAATTTTTGCGTATTAATACGGCACCAACATAGGCTTTGTAAGTCCCCACTGGGGTTTCCCTTTCATTCAAACCCTTCACAAAACTTTTGATACAGTTGACCATGACTATTCTCAAAAATGTAAAATTGTCCAATAGGTATAAAACGGGAAACCTCAAAATTACCCCCAAGTCATACCTCAGCAATTTAGAATCGCATATTGTTAGCTCTATTTTTGCCAATTCTATTGTTCCAGTTGACCAAACTCATGGCTGTTTCTCTAGAGCTCCTTTTGTTTTAAACCGACTGAGTACAAGAAACCATCCATTTTCCTATTTCAACTGCTCAATAAAATTATCAAAATTGGTAATTTGGTCAATTTTATACACAATTCAAGGAAGGCTAATTTCAAAATAGGGTTCAGATTAATGCAATATTCCAGCACTAAAATAATATTTTCACTGTTCATTAGTCACATCTCCAGGCCCCTCTTTATTACGCTTGCATTCCATTTTGAATTTTTATTTACACAGAAAACAGAAATTTACTGTTATGCAGACTACTGTATTATTGTAAAAATGGTATAAATAATATCAGCACATTTTGAAAGTTATTAACCCCATCAATTGACGTGTATTGGATGTGTGACATGATTTGTTTACTCTTGAACATCGGCAAAATCGAACATTTTCCACTATTTTAAGCTCAATTTCAAGGTACTTCTAGTCCATAAACCATTCAAAATCATCTCTTTTTCTGAAACATATCTTCTTTCTATCAAATGAGACAAGAAAATGAGAATACAACCATTAACACCATACTAAAATACACTGCAAAGTTGCTGTTTTAAACCAAAAATACATGATCAGAGTTTTTTTTCTCATTATGCACTGCATGCTCCAGGATTTTTTTATACTGTGCACACTGACCACACAGACCCATTCTCTCATATGTAGACCTACCAGCTTTCTTTAGTAAGATTGGAAGCTGCTAGAATTTTGGACGTAGTATTACGGGACCGACACTTACAAGCTGTAATATTACAGGACCAACGGTGAAAGGGTTAAGACTACAAATGCAACAGGAGTAATAGTATTTCTTTCCTTAACCCTTTCAAGGTCCGTGCCGTAGATCTACGGCTTTACGTTCAGGTCCAAACCATAGATCTACACCATGAGTTCAGCTCACTCTGATAAGCTGTGAGCAGTAAATTTGGGCCTAGATATGAGAGAATACATCTATGAGGTATGTGTGCACCACATAAAACAAATCCTGCAGCACACAGTACATAATTAGAGAAAAAAAACTGAGACCGTAATTTTCAATTAAAACAGCAAATTTGCAGTGTTTTTTCGTATGTTTTTTATAGTTGTATTTGCAATTTTGTCGTCTCATTTGATAGAATGGAAGATATACTACAGAAATAGAGATGATTTTGATTGGTTTTAGTACTGGAAATGGCTTAAAAACTGAGCTCAAAGTAGCAGAAATGTAAATTTTTGCCGATGTTCAAGAGTAAACAAATGACCTCACAAGTCTAATACATGACAGCTGGTGGTCTAATATACATTCACAAATGTGGTGATATTATTTATACAATTATTACAGTATTGCATAACAGTAAATCTTCTGTTTTTTGGTTTGAATAAAAATTCATTATGTGAATAAAAAATAAAAATGGAATTCATTTGTAAAGCTGAAAACGTAACTGATGAGCAGAGGAAATGTTAGTTTAGTGCCAGAATGACTGCATTGTTTATTCTGGACTCTATTTTAAAATTGGATTATTTTGAACTTTGCTTTAAAAATTGGCCAAATTACCAAATTCCGGTCACTTTATTTTGTTGTTGAAACAGTTGACTTGATGATTTCTCGTGCTCGGTCAATAGAATAGAAGTAATACTAGTGAAATAGCTAAGAATTTAGTTGACTGGAATATTGTAATTGGCCTAAAATGGGAGTCAAAGTCAGCAAAATCGCTGATGCGTAAATACCACTGACACATCAAAATTCGCGAGAGCATAATTTCGTCAGTTTTCCATCAAATTTCGTAATTTTTGTTTTATTACCTTCACAAGAAGATTCTCTACCATTTCATAAGAAAAAAATAACAAAATTATTTTTTGAAAATTCTTGGACCCTGGTGCACACTTTGAAATTTGGCCTCTAGACCCTGAAAGGGTTAAATTGTGGCTGCTGGTGTTTGTCAATGATTGTGAAGGGAGTGGAGAGTTATGCTGTGGCCTACTGGGCTGAGGTGGATGGTAGAGGCTCTGATACTGAAGTCGATGGTTATACTGGAGTGTGCATAAATTCTGTTGTGGATTTCGGGGCTATTTTACCGTGCAGTACATTACTCAGCTGACAGTAAGGTATCAGCTGCTCTAGACACCATTTCAGAGCACTGCTTCTAGATTTGTCAGGGTCCTCTTCAGTGAAAAAGTCTAACTTTAAGTCAGTAATTCATTAAAGTGAAGTCAATCAGTCAGTAAATCAGTCAGGTCAGTAAAGTCAATCAAGTAAGTCAGTCAAGTCAAAAAAAGTTAGTATAGTCAGTAAAAGTAAATCTGTTAAGTCTGTCAGCAAGTCAGTCAGATAAGTTAGTCAGTTATTCATCACACTAACTTGTATATTTACCTCATTCTTTTTAATTGTACAAACTGATGCTTCAAAGGCATAAGTTTGTACAATTAAACTCATAGGCTATCTCTTGTCTAATATCTCTATTTTCTTCATAACTCTAAGACTTAAACGCATATACTTTTTCTTGCCACTTTCAGCAACACTCGTATGCCTACTGGGTGCCATGATTCTTGGCAGATACAAAATATAGCAATTAAAAGATCAAAACACAATTCTCAAACACAGGTAGCTCCTCAGAGAGAATGGTACTGGACACGTATTCATGAAGGCTGGAATGGGGGTGGCAGGAGTGTTGAGGTGACAGGGGATGGGGGTAGGTCTTTCCCACTGACACAGTGATGTGACCCACAACAAGGCAGCAGCCTGAGCTGGGAAATTTTTTTTCCTCGCCTGCAAACGGAACCCTGTTAAGTTAATTTTATGAAATGTTGTATAAAACTGTGCAGCAATTTTTCAGTAGTGCAATAACCAGAACGTGCCAAATAAATCCATGTAATATAAGGTTCTACTGTTATTGAAAAGCGTGTAGTAGTGAAGCACTGTAAAGCAAAGTACCTTAAAGCAAGGGATGCCTGTATGTTTTATGCCATATAAATGATGTGCTTTACATGAATTAAAACAATGGTTGGGACAAAAGAAAGGCACTAATTATGCAATGCATTTTGGGTAACTAATCACGATGTTGCTGAAGGAGTTGATCCAAGGTAACTGAAGCTTCTCATCTATTCCTTATTCCGCAGCTGTAAGACCCTCACAGGTTTAGCACTCCCTCATGAATATAATAATATACCTTCCATCCGACTTACGACCTGCTCGACATACAACCACTCGACTTAGGACTGTGTTTTGTATGCAGATGTTCTGGGAAATAAACATTGTACACAGTGTTTCTCCTAAACCTTACGTATAAAATACAGTACTAACAGCATGAAAGTAAAGTAAAAAATTAAATACCAAAATAAAACAATAAAATAAAATCATTACATAGTGTCCTGCTGATATTCAGTAGTAAGTTTGACGTATTCCATTTTGACTTACGACCGGTTAGTCGGAACCAAGCTCGGTCATAAGTCGGATGGGAGGTGTACGTACAGTACAGCAAAAATGGGGCAATACACAAATTTAACTTAGAGTAAAGCAATAAAATCAAACTAATTTATTTTATAATTGTGCTGCATTATTGTAAAGTGTTATTTGTTTAGCCACCAGATATGGCGTGTAAAGATCGGCTGGCCAAGTCTCTGATGATCACTAAACTCAAGTTCCCATTTCCTCACATGGTGTCAGTACTGGTGCGGGATCGTGCTTCACGGAAACTAGAGTTAATGTCCCAGGTAAAATATGCAATTCCTGTTCAGTCATTTACAAGAATCTTGTACAGCCAGGCCTCCACTTGCACAGCAGATTAGACCCCAGGCCACTGCTGTAAAGCGAAAGCTGTAATGAGCATAGCCCTTTTTTTTTTTTTTTTTTTTTTTTTAAGTTTCAAATGCATATACCTAAAAGCTTGATAACATGTGTACACTCATATATTAAGTGAGCAGTAGAGCTAGGTCTAAAGTATACATATACAGTACTTACCTTAAAATATTTTCATCCTTAGCTTATAGTGAATGGTGAATATATTTTTAGTGTAACTAAATTGAAAATCAAACGTTATTGTGTGTATTAGAAATATTGTGTGTACTTTTCCAACTATGTATTGTTGTATATGAATAGATACAAATACAAGTTTTATTCAGCATGATACATTGTTTATACAGAAATGTGTGACACTTGAGTGAATGTTAAAAACCTGTAGTTATGCCGAGTATTTTTGGCAAGCTTAAGCCTAACTAATGATATACAATACCAGCAAGGATGATGAATTAGACAAGTGCTACATTTTGGGGATCTTTACTATGTAAAGATACCCAAATATAACACTTGTCTAATTCGTAATGTGAAGTCTGTTGAATTATGTATGTACATAAGACAGTGAAAGACGGTGTAATTAGTCCCCTCTGCTTAAGAGTAGGTGAAGAGGACCATGGAATCCCTGTTTATGTAAAACAGTAAACTAAAATTATGTGAGATACCCAACAAATTAAATTGTCTCTGCCACAAAACAAGAGAAAATAAATGCCTAAAGAAGTTTGTAAATCTTTGCACTGAGATCCATGGAAATTGTAAATCACATTGTTTTGAGGTCTAGTCTTTGTCCTTTTCAGTAACTCTTATATGGGAAGTGGTTACTAGCCCCCTGTCTTCCAGCATTTTAGTTACCTTTTATGACTCACATGGCTTATGGACGAAGAATTCTGTCCCACTTCCCCATGGTGATGAAAGGAAGCACTGTAAGAACAAAACCTAATAATCTTTTAAACTGTCTCCCAACTTTCTAGTACACAAGTGATGGCTGTGTGTCCAGTGTATTAGTATGCACAATTTTTCTTGGACTCAAATTTGTAGTGCTTCCTAGGAAAAAGTTCATGCTGTATGGGTAGGCATGGGGTATTCTGAATAATGTCACTCAGTAAACATAGGCCCAAAATTGCTGGCATACAACACAACCTTTCTCACAGTGAAATCCAGGAAATACTAATCAGTCCTGACACCAGTGACATTGAAGATGATGATAATGGAGGATCATTTACCCATTTTGAAGGAGATGGCAATGGTGGTATGACAAGGAACGAGAGAGGTGCCAGTTAAACACTAGATATAGCAGTGCCTTCCACCTCTGGTTTTGCTACGCAGCAAAGTGGACACTGACTGTTCTTCACCTCTGAATTGGATAGTGATTGGAGTTATGTGGGTGATGACAGTAGAGAAGATGTGTATAGGAAGTAGAGTGCTGAGTGCAGTGATAATGATACAGAATATTCGTCCATTAAATGAACACCAAAGTGGCTTTACACAAGGCCTGGCTCTCGATCATGTGTTGTTTCATTGGTCTGTGGTAATGCATCTAGAAAGGAGGACACTGTTGCAAGAGATATTGATAGTGATTGTGACATTGAAGGTGTTGTTGCTGCAGGTAGTTTCAGGACACCACCTGCAGCAACAACAGCAGAGATAGCACTTGCATCAGTGACAACAACACCAACCATGCCAACACTAGCACCACTGACAACACCACCAAACATGCTGTGACACCATCAGCGAGGACAGTACCACCAGCAGTGAACCCCCAGCAGCTATGATAACACCATTAACTGTAACACTAATGGCAAATAATATGTACCCACAGATGAAGAGGGTGTGGAACTGGCAGAACGGTACTTCATTTGGGCCAAATGTTTCACAGTTTAATGATAGTAACAGTGGAATTAAGCCAGATTGTCATATAATAAATGATTCCACTGAACTTGACTACTGCTAGTTATTCTTTTTATGATACACTGATGAATATTATTATTGCTCATACAGATAACTATTACAAGTGCACGGTGGCCAACTTTTCACACATCTGTGTGAGTGATGCTGGCATCAATAATGTACATCTACATAAAAGACAGTGAAAGGGTTAAACAGTAACTATATTTTCTGGCTTCATAGACAACCTCTAAATTAAAAGCTAACCATAGGATTTGTTCAAAATTTGCTCAGTAGACTCTCTGAATTTATTACCTTTTAGATATATTCCGTATGGCTATGACTGCACTAGTTGTGAACAACGTTGAAAGATACATGTACATAGCATCTGAAGTTTAAATTGAGCCCAGTTATGAAATAATATCTATCATACAGACATAAGTTACTGAGTAAAATAAAAGTAAGTGGGAGTGGGCAAGATTTTATCAACAAATTTTGCAGAGAATAAAGAAAAAGTTTTGGAGTGAGATAAATAAGTTGAGAAACCCTGTGGAACAAATGGATTTAACAGTATATTTTTGCATTGGGCAGGAAGGTATAAGACCTTTTATAAGCATGGAAGAGCCAGATGTGAGTGTAAGAACATAAGAAAGAAGGAACACTGCAACAGGCTTACTGGCCTATGCGAGGCAGCTCCAGTTCTCGTACCGGCTTAAACCAATGCCTTGACCTAGTGAGGTCAAAAATGTCACTTATGGGAGGAGCAGTGCATCCGACCTAGTAGCACAAGCTAGTCAGGTCGAACTCACACCCACCCACACCCACTCATGTATTTATCCAACCTATTTTTAAAACTACACAACGTTTTAGCGTCTATGACGGTACTCGGGTGTTTGTTCCACTCATCCACAACTCTATTACCAAACCAGTGCTTTCCTATATCCTTCCTGAATCTGAATTTTTCCAGTTTAAAGCCATTGCTGCGAGTCCTGTCTATGTTAGATATTTTTAGCAAGCCATAGGGGAGGTGCATGAGGAAGTGGTTAGCATGAAAGAGGGTAAAGTAGATGGCATTAAAACAAATCCTAAAAGCAGGTGGGTATATAGTTTTGGAGTGGTGCATTTCTTCAATATATATATGAAAGAGGAAGGTACCTAGGGACTGACAGAGCATGCATAGTTCCTTTGTATAATGGAAAGGGGGATAAAAAATAAATTTAAAAAATCATGATGAAATAAGCCTGTTGAGTTTACTGGGTAAAATGTATGGTAGAGCTGTTATTGAAAGAATTATGGATAAGAAAGAGTAGGACTGCAAAATAATAAGGAAGTTTTAGAAGGCTAGGAATATATTCTTATTTGAGTGATAATGGTTTATCAATATATTCTTATTGACAAACCTTACAATGTTTATTTCCTTTGCTCCAGTTGATTCAAAACTGCTTTCTCAAACTATATATTTTTTATCTTATTTTGTTATCCCCAGGGCACAGCAGATATTGTCCTAGACTCATGCACAGACTACTGGGATGGCTATGACATATGTCCGCTGACAGAAAAGGACAGGTAAGAAACAGATTTTGTCCTTCCGTGATACTGTTCAGTAACATTGGTAGTGGACTTTTATTGGTCACGAAAGTCACCTGATGCAGATATTTGTTTCTATGATAACCCGCTCAGTGGTCAGTTACCTACTGACCTACTGATCCAGGAACTGTGTGTTCCATCTCATTAACCCTTTCAGGGTCCAAGGCCCAAATCTGGAGTCACGCACCAGTGTCCAAGAATTTAAAAAAAAAAAATTTGTTATTTTTTCTTATGAAATCGTAGAGAATCTTTTTGTGAAGGTAATAAAACAAAAGTATGAAATTTGGTGGAAAATTGATGAAATATGCTCTCGCGAATTTTGATGTGTCAGCGATATTTACGAATTGCATTTTGCCGACTTGACTCCCATTTTAGGCCAATTACATTATTCCAATCAACCAAATTCTTAGCTATTTCACTAGTATTACTTCTATTCTATCGATTGAGCACAAGAAATCGCCAAGTCAACTGTTTTCAACTACAAAATAAAGTGATCGGAAATTGTTAATTTGGCCAATTAACACAAAGTTCAAATATTCTGATATTCAAAATAGGGTCCAGAATAAGCAATGTAGCATTCCTGGCACTAAACTAACATTTCCTCTGTTCATTAGTTATGTTTTGAGGATTTACAAATAAATTCCATTTTGATTTTTTATTCACTAATGAATTTTTTTTTCCCAAAAAAAATAAAAAATTTTTTTATGCCAACTGTAATAATTGTATAAATTTC